TTTTTTTGCCTAGCTTTTGCTAACTTTCTGATGCCGAAACGTCGGTTTAATCTGTATGCCGTTTCACGACACCCCTTTCGTGTTAGCGAGTGGTGTAATGGATAGCTTATCTTTCTATGACCATGATTCTAAAAATCTAAAAGTTTAGATCCATTTTAGTGCAGTTTCTTCGCGCAAAAGTCTCATACTTCTTTGCTATTTCCTGGTCTGCCCAAAAACAATTAGTCGATCACATTGTTTTAGTTGTTTAAGGAAAACTCGACAAATGGCTCTAAGTGATTTAATGTTGTAGATGAATCAGCTTCTTACATTTAATGAACCTCTTGAATTACTTTGAGTCAAAGAAGTATTCTATCTGTTAGGATTCTTCAGCTCAGGTTTTCTTTTTATCTCCAAATTTGTTTTGAGATGGGCACGCTTTATTGTGAGAGCACTACCGGCATTGTTTGTGGGGGTTTTTGAGCGATATGTTGGAGGGTCAATTTTTGGAAATCTTTCCTACAAAAGAGAACGCTGGTCAAAAAAGATTGAGGGATACAGACCTAAAGTGTTGATAAGTGTGTTGGATTGTTTCGGTTAAAACTTGTCTTTGAAGAAGATTCCTTTAAAGAACTCTCTATTAGAAATACATTCTTTCAATTAAAATTCTTGTAGTTTCAATATGTTGACAGTCAGTTGTCTCAGTACCTGATCGTGACACTGGAGTGTGAATTTCGCATGATTGGGAGTAAAAATGAAGCCTAAGTCCCCATCTCCGTATTATTTATTGTTGTAAAGTTGGATATGGAAATTGCATAAGTTAGTAAGAGTAGTTGGCGAAGGGTTCATGCTTTCTTTCCGTGTGTTCAACAGTGGAGCGAATGAAGAATTGACACTTTTCTTGCAATACTCCTGACCCTAAGTAAATTCAGAAATTGTATAATGACCGATCAAAGCATATTGCAGCGATCTAGTGTAATGCATACATGCTTTCTTGTCACTTATAAGTTTGGTTAGAATCCTCTAAAAACGACGTTTAAATCCGTACTTTGTTCTTCGTGTTCATTACTGAAATCTTTTTATACACTTTACTACAGGGTAGTGAGATAGAGCGCTCTAGATATGGGGCTGCTATAGAGAGAGTAGGTTCTAAAGCATGTATAAAGCTCTTGCGAGGTTTAAAATGGGAATTTTCGGGAAAAAAACTGAATGCTGCGGCAACTTCAGAATCCACTGAGAGCTGGCGGTATTTATGAGATGAGGTTCCTCACAATTGAGCTAGTATCGGTGAACATCGGTGCATTCTTAATTCTTAGGATTTTGGCAACTGTTTAAGCTAATAATTTGTGACAGTTTGGTGCAGGTTATTCATGCATATTATGTCATGATGTTTGTTCTTGACAGTTGTTCAAACTAAACTTTTATGAGAAAAAAAAAAAAAAAACAATTGCGACCACACCTCAGCAACACTTCTAAGTCTTCATTTGTGAATCGCCGTATTACTTTTATCCTACCGTTCACCTTAGACTTTTAAAGTGAAGGCTAATTCTGTTTCACCATGAATATGTTTGCGTGGATGTGTAGACCATTAACGGACTCGTTATATTTTCGCTTCAGTTGTTGATGGAGAAAAATTTACAAATGGTTTTGCTGTTCCATTTTAAGCCTTAATTTTTTTTTCTAGCTGTTTAGGAAGAAAGCAGAGCTCTTGCCAGGATAGAAAAGGATTTTTGGTGTCACTGTCTTGCAGTTGGTATGGCTATGGATTCTGCTGCTGAAGTAAGGTTTGCCTTGGTTGGTTTTGTGCAGTGAGTAGTTTTTTTTTTAATTAAAGACGCTGCTAACATGATTTTTAGAAGTTTTCAAACGATAAGTGGGATTTTTAGGTTGCATAATTCAAATTGAGCTTTTTACTGTTAATTTTCAAGATATCATCCCGACACAATTTTTTTTTGATTCAAACGGGTATAAGTGGGAAGAACATAAATTTTCCAGAGCCATACAGAATTCCAAGTAACAGTTCTGTGGCACGACGATGAAATTTGATGAATTTAAAGAGATCGTTGGCTGTTGCCGGGTGAGGTAGACATTTCCAAACAGGAAGTAGTAATGATTCTAGAGATACCAATCATTAGGAGGAGTAGAGGGATAAGGGTGGCTGCGTAAAGACTCTGATGCCTTCATTCACCGCTGTATACTCTCTAGCGTTGTCATAAAAAGTTTATTTTTCCTTACTTTATTTATCTTGCATCTAGAAATTGTAATCCCTACACGCACGTTAAAAACAGGAAAAATTTTTTTTGACATTAAGGAAAAAAATGATATTTTTTGACACTTTTTTGGTTATTATGCAAACACTTTCCTGAAGGTTTCAAATTGACAGTGATTTGGCAGGCTAATATGTTTCAACATACCTTATTTTTTGTGTTTACGATTTAGTCAGTTCGTCTGGTATCCACCAAAACAGCTTGCTCTTTCTAACTTATTGAAGTGGACCGCTGATAATTTCTGTATTGATCTTTCTAATCCATTCTTGACTAATTCTTACAAGGCTTCACTTTTTAAAGCGGAACAACGTATTTTGGAAACGTCTCCTTTCTTGTTTACTGCTTTTTCACTAGGGCATCCTGTTTGTTACATCGTAATGTGATTAAATTTTGATCAGTTGTGGAAAAACAAACAATTTTTCAAATTCATCTGAAGCAGTTGGCTTTGTGCAAAAGTTCTTCACGCATTAGAATAAGGGAGATTCAAGTCGATTGGTTAGTGAAGAAAGAGAAAATGCAAAAAACTTTTAAACTGGTATTGAGGTTATACTGGACTATCTGAAGTCAGTGGTGTTTTATTGAAGACTCTCAAACTGGAGGAAGTTCTTGTTGAGTTGAGTGGTGCAATAGGTAATAAGTCATGTAATGATGGTAGGCATTAA